AAATCCCAGACGATCGGAAATTTTACTGTCTCCCGACTGTCCCAGATTTTGCCGACTAATGAAAACTCCAAATCGTAGATATCCCCGTTCGTCTGGGATGGACGGGGACAAATCTGGAGAATCTGAAACGTTTCAGAATTTTCCCGACGCGTCCCAGATTTCTGAGATGGTCGGCGATCATTCCCGACAAATGAAAACTCAAAATTGTACCGTCGGGGACGTCGGCGATGGATTTCGTTCATTACCAGTCCCCTAAATTGCTGGGCTCCAGTCTCCCTATCACAAATAAACATGGCATCTCTCGAGAATATGGGACAGACTTCTGGCGATTATCCGATATATCGGCAAAATCTGGGATGGTCGGCAAAAAGTAAAATCCCCGATCGTCTGCGATTTTCCCGACATATGAAAACCAGGCTAAATCTTAGCCTGTGCAAAAACTCGGTTACTAACCGAGGTTAAATTACGTCTGCGACGCAGGCTATATTGCCGAAACACCGCGGCAAAACGCAATGCGCATGAGCGCAAAATTTAATATCCGGTCAGCTTTTTATTTCCGGTCTAGTATATAAACCAATAGCGTAAGCATAACTTTGCCGTCGCTCCAAGTTTAAAAGCAAAAAGGGCGAAACAGACAAAAAAGGGGGCCAAAAAAATCACTTCATTCGAAAGCTTATATATTTTTCTATTCTCAAACTTTTGCACCACATGGTTATCTGTTTGCACCAACGGTGAAAATGATGTTTGAAGTTTGCAGGTCGCGAGCGCTCGACAAGACGAATTTGTTTTTACTGGCTTTCTTGCATGCTACTGGTTTGGCATAAGTTAATTTGGGAGAAGGCGACAACCAAGAAAAGAATAACAATACTTATGAAAGAAACCAAAATAAAGACGTCATCATTATCATAAAAAAACGCTAAAACCAGGAAATAAAATTTTATTCCGTTCAATAATTTGTTTTATTATCAGAGAAAACAAGAACTCAAAACAAAAGATGGGCGGGATTTAATAACAACTTTGACTTTGATGACTGCAGTCACCGGGAAACTAAACATGCCTATAAATGACTTTCATTCAAGAAAATGCCTATTTAATTCTTTTACATGGTTGTTCTTTTGTTGAAGACTTCAATAATTTCAGACTGTGCGGCTCGGCTGCATCTCATGCAAACACGAAACTTCTAGCTGCTAAATACATGGCATGAAAAGTTCGACTTCTAAAAGCCACTGAACCAGCTTTCGCTCTCTGATTCTGAGAATGAAAAAATAAATAAATAGAGTTGTCAACTTGCTGCCAACCGGCTCAACAGTATAATTAAGCTTATGTTTCATGGCAATCAACCCAGAAGAGTTTCGTTTTAAAACACGGTAAAACCCACTGGTAAAAAAAACTACAAAGCGATTGTGTGTTGTCGTTTTCCAAATAAAGTTTGAATCGGCTTTAACACATGCAGACTGAGAAACTGGAGAACTGAAAATTAGAACTGCAACACACAAGCTTGCAATGATAACGTCTTAATTTTATGTCTTAGTTTCAGCCAGGTTAAGTGAAAAATAACAGTCAAAAACTTTATTTTCGTGAACGAAAATCAGTTTACCTGACGCTCTAGCCAAAATTACACACTGAGTTATTATCATCTTACCTTTACTGAATCTAATCGACTAATTGTTTCAGTGATCTGTGCCTGGTTATCCACAAAAGCAATTTCAATAACTACAAAATAGTCAAAAACACGAGGAGCATAAAGCAGAACAACTGAACCACAAGCTGCACAGGGGCACCCAACGAGAATATAGTTCAAAACCACATAGCATTGTTGAACATACTTTAGTATTTAAACGGCAGATAAAGGCTTATTTTCATCCCCTAAAAATTTTTCATCTGTTCGGATTTCCTAGCTGAAAGTATAGTGATCCGAAAATTATAGGGATCAAAATTTACCTTTTCGAAAATTTCAGCCAGAAAAAAGGCTCCCGAAAATTCTAGGTGACCTTTTTAGGGTAAAAATCCGTTAAAAATGGGCAATTATACAATTTTTTTGAAGTTCGAAAATCCTAGGAGAGGCAGGCAAGCAAGAAATTTTTCAGAAAATGATCCGAAAATTCTAGACCTCAAATCGATTAAAATCGTCTTCCGAACAGATAATTTTCCGAAAATTATCGTTGGGTGCCCCTGGCTGCACACAGAATGAAGCCGAGAGCGCGCGGGAAACTTTGATCTGACTGGAAAGTGTGACTGAAATAGAGACCGTTAATAGAGACCGGAAATGCTCAACCTGGAGCATGCGTAGACGTTTTGCCGCGGTGTTTATTGCCGATCAATGCCCTTTAAAGTGATAATAATAGTAATAGAGAACTCATTTTAATCCTCCCCTAGCGGCTGGGGGTAAAATGAGCCTGACTCGGGCCCGAAACATATTTATGCCCGAGAGCAATTTTGCAGTTTTTGATTAGCGATATTTCATTTCATATATATATATACGGCTTGCTCAGTGTTGAAATTATCTGCAATTATTCAGGTTAACCGTCTTTTTCAACTTTAGAACCTTTAAGTTCTATTTAAAATTTGCAAATACATGTACGACTGGACTTCACCCGTTTACCTTTCGTAACAGTCGCTTCCATTCTTTTAATAGTTGATATTGATGTCATCGTTGGTAACTAACCCTTTTTACGTTATGACAGACGTGATAGAATTTCTCCGTTTCAATATGGTAAAAAAATTGTATACATTTTGCAGTAATCCTAGAAAGAAAGAAATTTAAATTCAAGCTGGACTTACGTTAATAATTAGGGTTTCGTTTTAAGTAGAAACACCGTAGCTCTTAATAACAGGCCCGGGATGACAGGCCAAAGTTTTCAAAGTCTCTTAAAAATGGCATTGATCGTTTACGAAAAGAAATTCTGCGGTAACACGTTCTCCTGCTCTGGCCAATAAAGCAAAAATCTATCTAATTCTACAGCTGTTTGATTGAGTTGAGAACAGGCTGTGTTGAACATAGAAAAAAAAAGGATTAAGTGGCAGGTACACCAGAGAAGATATCGCTCAACAAATGCAGCCTCACACTGCGAGCTTGCAGAGCGTCTTTTTGTCTTTTATTCGAGCAAGCGAAAGAAAGATTCTGTTGCTGGCGGGGTGATGCAGCCTAAGTCCGTGAGTGTCAATGAGAAAAATAAAAGTGGATCCACTTTGACTCTACTGGAAATCCTGCTTGCTCTACAACTTTACAATTTGAATCAACAACCCTAGTCTATTCACACCAGGGAAAGGCTCTTGAGGCACACCTCAAAACTGTTCAATACGCCTTCTGATCAGCCTCTCAGGCTATGACCTTTAAATTTTGCGACTTGTCCTCATAAAAATTTAATAGTTAAAGAAATTATGACAAGATGTTGAAAATGATGAGCGCATTATTTTGTGTAAATTTGGTGGTAGTATCATAAGTGGTTTTAAAGTTATAGAGGGGGGCCTCCAGAACCTCGCCCCAGTCCCAGGAAGCCTAATGGCCTGTCAATGACATTTACAAGAGTAGCTTTATGCGGAGAGACATATTTTGAGTTTATTGTTTACAGCACTGTAAACTAGAGCAGAACCTGAATAATTTCAACATTGTAACACGATACTTCAACGTTAACTTTTTATATGCAAAGAATACACTCGGTACATCATTACTTTACTTAAACGTCTCCCCGCTCGTTTTAAAAGTTAAGATAGTGCAAATGCGTTAATGTTGCTAAATTTCCTCGAACAATTTCATTTCAACTTGTCACCATTAGACATAGAAAGCTCTCCTGTATTTTAAAGAAGCAAGGACTTATAAATGTATCTTTTACGAATTGTCATGTTGCTTATTGATCCAGACCCTTAATTTTGTTCTAAGAGTGGCCATAGTTCTTCCGTGGATACGAAAAACCTAAAGTCAAATCTCTTCCAACAAAAACTTCCATCCACTCACTTCACCATGATGTGGGCTGATGCAATAGATGTGCAATGCAGCCTCAATCTGGTGTTACAATCACGTGTTACAATACGGCTGGTAACTAACATCCGGTTACCAGTTAAGTTTGTAAAAGGTCTTTCACTTTGCTAGGGTAAGTGTGCCCATGATTTAACATATTATACTACTACATGAGAAATTTCTGCAATTTGATTGGCTTAGAGCAGTGGTATTTCAGCTTAATTTGAAATACCTACATATGAAAATTACAAAACCTTTCCGCGTGGTAGTATAAACAAATAATAGCATGATTTGTAAGTGATATTTGGCATAAATACCACTCGCGATATTTCAAAATTGTCTCAAATTACGTATAACAATTTCGAAATATCACTCGTGTATTTATGCCAAATATTTACAAACACCTAATACCTTGAACTGTTTTGGTATATTATACATACAAAACTTGTCTATATGAACTACAACTCATAAAATGAATCATTGTCTTAAAAAATAACACAGGAGTTTCGGATAGAGTTCTGACAGCGGTGGCGTAACTACATCTATTTAAACACACTTATACTCGTGCGCTGTTTGAAAGTACATACAACAACTAGCAATTGTATTCATCGGGAAAAAAATACATATAATCGCAAATTATCAAGGCAGAAGTTTTTCAAAAATAAATAAATAAATGTACAACTTCTTCTTCTTCTTCTTGTCTTCAGTTCTCCTTGAGGTTTATTGTTGTGATGAATCGCTTGACCTGTCTTCCGTTTGCGAAGTAGTAATCAGTGTTGGTCAGTGTTGTCCACTTCTAACACAACAGCTCTCAGTTCGTAGTTGCCTCCTCCTTAAAGTCACCTTAGCTTTAGCTTTTGTTATTTTTTAATCAATTATTATTGTACAAAACACATTATATTTATTTTTATTGCTTATTGGTTTCCGTCATAGTGTAGCGTTACCTAGCGCAGCTAAATGCAATTCGACGACTTCCTTTTCGCCTAGGCTATTACCTTTGTCTAGCCTATGAAGACCTATGAATGACCCATTAATTTTGTGGTTTTTTTATCAAAATTTTTTATGAAAAAATTCCGTTTTCATTTTACTCGTTCAATTGTGGCATATGCTGTCATGGAGTAAATGGGAAACCGGAACTCTTCTTGCAAAGACGGGAAATCGAAGGATTCTTTCCAACTCGACCAGTTTCACTTCACGTATAGCATACCATAGTTTCTGTAAAATATTCCACGATTGTCATGCCAATCAGTATGGTTACAGGTAAAGCCATATAACGCACGTTTGGAATCTGGCAAAAGAAATAGACAAAACTTGTACCTGTGCGGGCCAAAATACCAAAGGACACTTTTATAAAATTATTAGCGTAATATTACTATTATGATTATAATCATCATCATAATTATCGTTATTATTTTTACGATTATATTAACGATGAATGGAAATAAATTAGTTAACTAGTCTTCTTTTTATTTTTTTTTTTTGTGGTACAACATGACGAAAAGCTGATGTGGCGATGATTTCAACTCTTTGACCGTATCCACACTAGAGACGGATTATACGTCTGAAACGGATTATCCATTAGATAATTCGGGTCAGATAGATAATACGTGTTAATTTGAAAATAGAACAGTCTTAATTTTGGATGGACAATCCACCTGACTTTATCCATCTGTTCTTCCGCCAATTTTGACGGATTTTAAAGATGGATTATCCACTGGTGTGAAAACAGCCGTTACGAAATTTCCTGGCAAATATTCCCATCACCTTGAATGAATTTGTTCCGAATAAACATAATATTTAACAATTATTCCTCGAGCCTGAATGGGCTCTGAATCAATAGCCCATGAGGGACGACGGGAGTTTTCCATTTTCTCTTAGGTATGGAGCTACGATCGCGCGCATGGAGGCTCCGCTATATAAAATAGGCGAAAAGCAGTACACCATACATAAGAAGCTTTTTGCCGAAGACGTAACGACAGACGTAACTGCTGAATGTAGGACGTGTTTGATTGAGATGAACGTCCGACGTTAGCTGTATGTTATGGAGCCAGAATATTTGCATGATTGAATCGTTCGTTGCTTACCAAAACAAGATGATTTCCAATAACTGGAACCACCACACTCTTGGTTATCATGGCCATCAAACACTAAAAGAAAAAAGAAAAGGTTAGTACAATTTGAAGCTGGAAACTGGAAGATTATTATAAGACCTTACAAGGAACCTGTTTTGAACAAGGCCACCTACGTTTGCTCTGCCATTTACGGGTAGAGCAATATGTAAATTTTCGTTTGTTTAATGTTGGATAAAAAATGAATATATTAATAAATAAACTGCCTCACTTTAAATTTTAGATTTTACATGTTCTGACCTCTGTGACATTCTCCATCATAGATTTGATATCCCTGATCGATACTGGTACAACTGTTTGTCTCCCATTGATATGGATAGATACAAGAAATGATAATACGTGGACATCTGCAAGAAACAAAGCAGGCTAATAAGATGAAAATGAAAATGAAAATGAATATGAAGATAAAGATGATGAAGAAGAAGAAGAAGAAGAAGAAGAAGAAGAAGAAGAAGAAGATGATGATGATGATGATGATCATAGAAACTTAATAAAAGTTATTTGTAAAAAGATAGCTCTTTTTTCTGTGAAAAAATTTTCAAAGATGAAGGAAACTATTTAAAGTCTGGTTCAGAAATTATGGTCATTTAATCGCCTTTAACGCTGTCTTTTCGATTGTCACATTAACACGCAATATTTTTTAGCCGTCTAGATTGCATCAGTTTTAGGGAAAATGTAGGCGAGAAAGTAAAGGAAGGTTGGAAATATTGCGAAACAAAACTCGCCTTCTAAATAAGTCATAAAAAACTTAATAAACGGTTCAAGTACGTGTGGATGAACGATCAGTCCTAATAGCGCAGCCCCACTCTTCAAAGTAATCAGGCAGCTTCATTTTTCTCGCATGAATCTTTTTCCACCAGAAAAAAAAAAGAAAACTAAAAATGATAAGTTGTACTTACAGTTTACCGCTACATGAGGAGTTGAATTTTTCTCGTCCACTTGGAATCTTAAAATCAGAAAAGAAAGTGATTGGGAACAAGATTCTTTTGAATAGCATGCGAGCAAGCTCTCCCTGGGATGCGGGCTAGGGGAAAATGCTCAGAGGGTGGTTATTTACATTCGGTGTCGTATTCCCTGTAAGATCTGATTAATCTGATTTTGACAGCTCAACATCCGACGAGGCCTAGGGACCAAGGAAGTAAACACCGCCATTAAGCTGTCTCACTTTTGCCTCACTTTTGAGTTTTTTTTTCTAGGCCTCACATTTTCGCTTGGACCAATTGACTCGCGAAACGCTTTGGCCGCACGGAATAATGAGGCCGAGAGACTAGGCAAGGCGGAGTATATCAACGAAGTCCACCTTTGACCATTTGAGATATGTAGACAAAATAGGTCGGTTTGATGGTATAATAGCAGATTGTGACTCAGAATTACTCGACGTTACTGCCGCTGTCAGTTATTCGGGCCCCTAGTTTGTGGTAATGTGTTACAATATCAACCCCTCGACTCAGGCCGATAACCCTCATAAATCTACCTTAAGCACTAACCTGATAGAATAGGGTATGGCTTACTTTGTTTCCAGACCCCAAGACATCAACTCGGAAAGAACCTGGTGCAATAGTGGTTATGTATGGAAGGTTATTATGCAGATAAATACTGTCCCATAATATACAAATACTAATCAGGAAATTAATTATACTGATGCATAGAAGCTTACGGGGAGGTTAGGGGTGGAGCGATAGTCTCGCAAAGATATTCGTCCTTTTTTTGACTGTTTGTTTGATTGGGTTTTTCAAAATACATTGTAATTTTGTACCAGAATTAATCTTTCTGTAAGTGCTCATTACTCCTTGCACAGATTTATTAAAATTTAGTGATCTGGTGACGACGGTTACAAGACATTAAAATTAAGGGTCATTACGCATACCATCGTGTTTTTTTTATACAGAAATACGTACAGAATTTTTGCACATTAATTTGTTCAAAAAATAACAGCCAAATGTTAATTAAAACAAGAATAGTACTTAGCTATTTTCCATCTGGTCTCAGCGCCATCAAGACTGAAGAAACACGTTGCTCTCCCTCAAAAGATTTTATTAGCGTACAATATAACCACTTATGACGTAAGCATGAAAGCGAGGCCTAATGGCCACCATATTTCCCGCAAACTTAAAAAAAAAAGTAGATAGAGCGGAGAAAACGAGAACGATTTGTGATTTAGAGATTTATAATTAACTCCAAGAGATATTCCTGGAGCAGCTACAATAAATGAACCTGCGTTGGAAAGTGGACAGTGAAGAAACTAACCTTCGGCAAAGATCGTTCGGAATTGAATGAAACGTCAAGTCTTTCCTATTATGGGAACGATTATTTCAAAGCGCAGCTGCGCAGCATTTGTGAGAACTATTTTTTGTCGTAGTTGTTGGGTGCTCTTTTGGCAATCTAATTGCAATGTGGCCCTTAGGCCTCGCTTTCATGCTTACGTCGTAAGTGTGTATTCATTCTAATTATGCAAATGCATTATTTTTTATGGTCTATACTATTCATGCAACGTTTTGTAATCGATTGTACACCAGTGACCACACAAGGTAAGAACAAGTTAAAGAATTAAAAAATCATCCATACCCTCGATCTGAGCTAGTTTATGAATTTCCTGGTCACTTAATTTCCTCGCCTTGATGATAGTTTCATTAAAAGGAACACAGAGTACTGAGTTGAAGCAGTAGTTTTCAATCCTTTGTAAATGATGATGATTTGTTGAGCTAATGCTTGCAACCAATGTCCATCCACCCCCTAGATTACCCGGGAAAGATAGATTGGGACAAGAAAAGTAAATTAAGTAACAAACAAACAAACAGCTAAGCAAACATCAACAACTGAACAACAACAAAAACTGAAGTAAGAAAAGGAACATTTCTTTATCTACTACAAGGTTTTCTTCAGGTAATGGGCATTAGAGTTAAAGTGAAGGTAAGTGAACAAGAGTCTGCTTGATTCGTATTGCTCTAGTGAAAAAGGAATTATCTGTAAATCAGGTAGGTAGGTATTCAGGTATTGCTAATATTAAATTTTTGATGTGCATTTACTTGTACACGTACCGTACTTTCCCATATCACAATACACTTGGGCATCTCTGTCTCCGATCTTCAGCCAGTAGTAGGTGCTTTGAGCTTGTGGGAACTCCCGGAGAATTTCCGCGCAGGATCCGAAGCCAGGATTCTGCGTGAAAATTGAACTATCCATACTTATCAAAATTTTGTAAATGACAACTAACCAAGTGGAATGAAATACTAACCCGTGTGAAGTAAACATTATTTTAATTTATAGCTACCTGAAGCAAAATGCTGATAAATCCGTGAAAGCGACATGAGGGGCTGTTAATTAGTAATAAAATTTACAACACAAGTAAAAAATACCTCTAGCCTGGATGCTTTGAATATAAATTTGCCAAGTGAAACATTTAATTAGCATTGGCCAAAGGTTTTTAGGATTGAAAGCCATCCCGGACAAAAAAAAACACCCTTGCAACCTGAAGAGGATGGTCTAAAAATTCCTCACGAACCGCTTCCAATATCTAAATGTTCAGTGCAACCATGCACTACAAAAAATCAAAGATGGTTCTTTAAAGAGATGAAATTTTTAGTTTTGGATTTTAATTTTTGATGGCCCATGACCTTCAGGTAATGATAAAGCGGACTTTTTGGTAACGAAAAACTATATAATTATATGATATTTCTGGCAAATTATTCCAAAATATAAAGGATTAATTAGCCAAATGACAACTGACCTTTCTATGCTTTTCGGTAGTGTCCTTATACAGAAATCCTTCCATCGGCACATAATCCACCGGGTGAGTAAATCTGTCCGCATCGTTCAATTCACATAACTTATCCATTAACCGAAAATTGAAACTCTTGCAACGGAACTCATACGAACACAAAATCACGCATTCAGAGAGACTTGCACAAGTTTTTATATAAATAACGTGACCAGTCAGGTAATAACCGTATATTGATACTGACTGAACTTGACATTGTTCTAAGCCATGTGTCGTCATCATTGAACATCTGATGAAAATGGTGGTAAAGATAAAAGCAACTAAGTGCTGCATCATAATACCAGCTTAAAGACCTGAAAAAGTCAAGCAACGGATCTATTCAATCATTATCATTATCACTGTTATTGCATTGCTATTGTCGTTGTCATAGAGAGGAGAAGTATGACGTCAGGTCACCATGGTAGCACTATTTCTGGATGAAAACAAAACCAACGACGACGGCGACGGAAGGAGAACGGCAAAAAAAGTAAAAGGTTTTTATTGACAAAACAACAAATTTGCACGTGCATCACGCTATTTTGTACATTTTTTTTACCGTCGTTGCACCCCTGCGACACGAAACTTCCTAATTTCACACGCTTGCTTTATGGAGTAGGTGAACACAACACAAAAGTTGTCTTTTTCCTCTTCTAAACTTAGATACGGTCCTTTCGGATTCAACCCGGGAAATTTCACCAACATATGCCAAATTAAATGAAATTGAATAAAATCGATGAAGTTTGAAGCTGTGCGAATTCGCCTTTTAAGTGAAGTTTTCGGTTTGTTGTCATCCGAAAATTTTGCTACCATGGCAACATGACGTAACGACTTCTCCTCTCTATTATCAATACCATTGCCATTAGCATTAGGTTTACCATGATCACTCTCATTATCCTTATCATTATCTTTACCATGATCATTGTAATTATCATTATTACTTGGGCCGAGCGCCAAGAAAAAGATTCGCGGCGATCAGGAATGTCCCAAAGTTGCTTCTGAATGTCCCGAAAAGAGAGAGGAATTAGTTCAAGATATCTCGAGATTACTGCGAGTTCTTTGATTTTTTCTTTATTTTACTCGAGGAAGAAATAATAGTTATTTTTGGCGCGCCCGGGGTTTGAACCGGCTCACCTGCTACCCGTCAGATCAGAGTTTAGGGATTAGCCGATTTCGCCACTGCGGCCCAAGGTAGTTTGAAATGTGAAAAATAGCTATAAACTTATGCACTAGTTTCGGGTGTTTCGGCTCTTTCACGCAGTGAGACCGGAATTACTTCGAGGTATCTCGAGATCACTTCGAGCTCTTTCTGCTACATCAAATAATTTAATTTATTCAAGGAATAATTAATTATTCGTTTTGGCTTACGCGGGGTTTGAACCGACTCATCCACGACCCGTCAGATCAAACGCTTAGTTGACGGATTACCCGATTGCGCCACCGCGACCTAACGCAGTTTGTCATGTGAAAATTAGCCAGAACATTTTACATGTTTCCTTTTCATTGATGTTATTTTTTATTGGCTCTTGTATTTATTTTAATTTTGTGTTTCAAAATTTCCCCTGCTGCTGTTTTCGAACTGTTTTATGATGAATTTAAAAATACGAAATGCTGCACAAAGAGCATATCTTTGTTGACTTTAGGGACTGTAAGTTATTTATGGCTAAGGGGGGTAAAGTTTTCAAAGTCAGTGGAAATGGGGGGTTCGTTTTTCAAATGTAGTAAAATCTTAGGGGCGTAAACTAAGAATGTTGTTTAGACCCTTGTGTTGTCGTTTTGCACAGATATAATAAATTGAACTATGTTTTGAAATCACTATTCTCTCCAAGTACCAAAGAATCTGGTCCGGACCATAGCCTGTTCATAGAACCTCTATTTTCTTTTTAGCGATCGTCGAGCAGCCGTATGAAAATGAAACCGCGGGGGATTTAGTGACTGCCGCTTTCGTGTCAAAAAAGAAGAAAAATTCGTTCCGTTTATGCAGTCGAACCTCATACGGAAACCGAAGGGACAGAGCGAAGAGGCCGTATTAGAGAGGTGTCCGTATAAAAGAGGTCACTAAGATGACGTCAGTTTTATGACTCCACTTACAGCTTTAAGTGTTTTGTAGCTAAAACCGGGCTCACACTCGTCTTTAAACTGCATTTAAAGTTATTCTTTCACAATTCAAAGACAATGACTTTCAGTAGCATAAAACATTGTACATCTCAGCTACAGACAAAGTACTGTTTTAAAACGAAACGAGCTACAGCGAAATGCCACACGAAAAAAGTTGTAAAGTAAAGCACAATTCTGAAGGCGTTTTTCGCTATTTTGCAAGTGCAGTAAACAGTTACTAGAGTACAAAATGTAATAGAAAAGATCGTCTGTACACCTTTCGCAAATCGTTGTTTGGTATACAGCGATTGCCTGGGCTTTATATCACCTTGCATAGCTCATCAGCCAGAGAAGACGGGATTCACCCTGTGCAGATTCACCTGATTGAGGATTCGGAATTCATCTGATCACCGCTGTGTCGGTAATAGGATTTTAAGTTTATATGAATTTATCTCTCTGGCGCCGAGATTAAATGTCCTTTGTCCGTATTAGAGAGATCCCTTATTACAGAGGGGTTCTTTTTTAAAAGAAAACAAATGAGAATTTTGTCGGGACATTGGAAACTGTCCGTAAAAGAGAGGTGACCGTATTAGAGAGGTGTCCGTGGCGCGGAGGATCTGCTATAAATTATTGTTATGATTATTATTATCATTATCATTATCATTATCATTATCATTATCATTATCATTATTATCATCGTCATCTTTAATATTATTACATTTTTAATATGCTGCACAATAAACATGAGTTTGTGCGAGAGACAAGAAGGGAACCAACTTTATCGGTAAAAGTTGAAGCTAAATTTTGGTGCTCTGCAAAACTGAAGGATGACGACTCAGAGTTGAACTATACCATTGATTGTATTACAAATAAACTCCAATTTATTTCTTGATGGATATCAATCCGCCGTATAAACTAGGATGTCGGATTATATTAAAAACAAAATCAGTTCTTAAATGCAGTGAAGAAGAAAGTGGACACTGCTTTCCCCAGCGATCACCTTTCTGACTCAATCATTAGACAATATGCTAAATTTAATTTAAGCTTGTAAACGTACCCGAAACGTACCCAAAATGTCGCCAGTATGAAAGATATCACCTTTTGAATAAGCTAGAAGAAGAAAAGCTGGTTTTCACCTTCGCGCTACCTAACAGTTCGACTTAAATTTTTCCAAAGGCCATCCCCTTTGTTGTTGTTGTTTTTTTTTCGTTTAGCGTCGAATGCGTTTCCTGATATTGGGTCGGTCGGTCAGATTGAAAAAAAAAATTCTAAAAAAAAAATCACAAGGAGTCTCGGAACAGGAGGCCCTGTTACCCCAGGATGACGTTAAAAGTCAACATTTACATATTTGGATTAACAAAATGCACAATATACTGTAAAAAAATGTTCCTGTTTTTGTTCCTGCTTTTTGTTCAGTGTTCTCTACACTGATACTGTGCTCATGTTTCAGATTAAAAGAATTATTTCAAGTGAAAAATGGTTTAACTACGTTGTTACTTCTTTTTTTTTTTCTGAAATGCCAAAAATTTTGGTCGGTCGGACGACGCTAAACGGAGAAAAAAAGAGGATGGCCAAATTAGCAAAGAAATTAGCAATCTTTACCGGGTTAGTTCAGAATATTATTGAATGAGAGGCTAAGAATGATCCAAGGAATTATACAAATCGGACAGGGTTTTATCCGCCTTGGCCGATAACACTATCCGGGCGATTCATACGAAAGCCTAATTCAATAATTGTTTTAATATTCATTCAAAATATTTCATACTTAAGAAAACATCTAAAATATGCTTAACTTCGCGATGTAAAGTTCCTGTCTACATTCTTCTTCTCCTGGCACAATTTAATATATAAAAGGATGTCTATTCTAGTAGAAACAAAAGAGGCAAGGCTGATTTAACTGTCGGAAAAAATATATTTCTTTTACCAATATTTCCGAAGGCACGGCCTTCCTTCTTCAGGGTCTTAACCCTATCATTGTATGTAAGACCCTGAAGAAGGAAGGCCGTGCCCTCCGAAATATTGGTAAAAGAAATATATATTCCCGACTGTAAAACCAGTCTTGCTTCTTTTGTTTCTATATTTTCAATTATAGCTGATTAGATCCTTTATTAGGATCCGGTCCTTCTTTTTTGTTAGTTGGTCCTTGCTCTCAAATTGAATTTATTCTTAAGCAGACATTCTTCAAATTAAGAAATGGTAAACGTGCAGCGTGCAACCATGGAGTTATGGATGCACGCGGGAGGTTGCTAAGCACGAAAGAAGCATAAGAGTCGCACGAGGCGATAGCCGAGTGCGACTATAGTTGCTTGAGTGCTTAGCAAACCTCCCAAGTGCATCCATAACTCCATGGTTGCACAGCTACAGCGTTTACCATTTCTTTTATAACATAATCAAAAGAGAAAAACATTGTTTTCCATTTGCCTTCAGTTGAGTCATCGGTCGGAGTTTATGTATGCTGCCATCTGCCCGCGCGTAAACAAATCATGTTCTATGTTTTTCGAAAACTTGCCTTTGAGTTTTTCTTTCGCTGAATCAGCCGTTCTCCGTCTTCAAGTAAATTGCAAAACGTTTTTTGTTGTTATTGTGAATGGCATCTGTCTACTTGCTCTTAATATTAGGGTAAAAACTTTGAGGGAAAACTATATCTGCAAATATAAACACCAACTAAAAAGACTCAATAACCAACTAAAAAGACTAAATAAATGAAATAATTATCAAGCTTATTTATGTGACAATTTTTTGAAATAAACGTAAAGTAGAAATGAGAAAATTTGACAGTAATTCCTTTAGAATAACAGGTAACACTAATTTTAAAAAGAAATTAACTAGCTTTGTATCGAAATCTGTCTGGGGAAATCCAGCTATGAAAGTCAACTGAAATTCGCCGACACACAGTCGGCGCTGAAGCTGTTGTTTTTCGACTGTTCCCTGAACGACTGTTATGAATGAACACTGAAGAACAAAATAATACACACACAAGTTATTTTTTGAAAAATTTATTTGAAAACCCAAATGTTTCTGTACTTAAATGAAATTCGCTTATTCCAGCGTAAATGTGCCCGTTTAAACTCAACTAAAATTGTTAATCGATGCGATGAAAACTTCACAACAAAGCTGTCTCGAATTTGAGCGTGTTTCCTAAAATATTTGCTTGAATTTAACATCAGCTTGACCAAAAAGTCAATAACACAATGGTAATT